AGCTAACATCAGAACTTTAAGGGCTGCACTTTGTGGAATCCAGCCCTGAAGGAACAGATGTATGGATTAGATTATCAGCTTCACTGCTGGACAGTGTTTGTAATATTTCAAAATGCAAAAAGAAATGACATATTTTGGTCAAAAATAGTTTAGAAGTTAGCTTAACTGGATTCTGTTGGCCAATGGAGACTCAAACGAGTCCAGATGTTCTACTTGTTTGTCAGATCTAGTGCTCGGGTTGATTTATTGAGCGGAGTTTAGAGTCATCTTTGTTTGACCCTAGTGTCCGTCCAGTGGTCCTGGTACCGCCGGACCCGTTGGACCAACTTGTTGAGACTGGAATCTCGAGTGAGCGCAGCAGAAACCGATGGAGCTCTAAATGAATGTTTCCCATGCCTGACTACACCAAGGCCTCATTTCTCTACATGTGCCATGCAACTCACCCAAATGCCATCATTCACCTCATCTGTTCACTGCCATGCCCCTCTGTCACATGACCTCTGCCTGAATGACCTCACTTCCTGACTTGAATTTGTTCCTCATGTTTTCTAAATGTGGCGCTTCCTTTATGAACCTTCAAACAGCTTTTATTGCAAAGCCGACATTTAGCATCTTTTTAGCTCAGCGACTTTTATTGTATCTTCAGAGATTTAAAGCCAATGTTTCAAAGCTGTTTTCAGAAGGTTCGTATTGCTGTCATCGTATTTATGAAACAGAACCAACCTGAATACTCCATACATCCAGTGAACGCTTCGGCCAAACACGAGGCCTCACGCTCGCTCGGCTGTCTGTGTTCCAGATGTTCATTGACAACTTTCAGACGGCTAAAGACGCTCTGAGTGCCGCCACTTCTCAGGCCGCAGAGAGAGCTGCGTCCAGCGTCCGAGACTTCGCTCAGAAGAGTTTCCGTCTGTCCACGGACATCAGGCTGAAGGCTCCCCTCATCATTGTCCCTCAGTCCTCCACCTCCCAGAATGCCCTGGTGGTGGATCTGGGGCTGATCACGGTGGACAACAGCTTTGCTCTGCGGCCAAGTGAAGGGTTACCTCTGCCGGCCGTGATGGAGAAGATGGACATAAAGCTGACGCAGCTGAAACTCTGCAGGTATCGATCCAATCTGCGAGGAACTTAAACCAGAAACATGCAGAAAACAATTCAGGAACTTTATTGTCTGAAACGGTTATCTGAAGCCTGCAATTGTTACAGACTTGGAGCTAAACGATCAGTTAGCGCTAGGATGTTAGCGGTCAATCAGCTATATGGTTGGACTCAAGGACTTCAGGTAAAACTCAGGATGTGAAGGAACTCTGGCTTTATAAAAAGTGCTTCGCTGTGTTTGAAGTTCAGTGACTCTGGAGAAATCCCTAATCTCATGAACATGTTGACTGCAGAGCAGACAGTCTGAGGACATGGAGACAGTCTGAGGACATGGAGACAGTCTGAGGACATGGAGACAGTCTGAGGACATGGAGACAGTCTGAGGACATGGAGACAGTCTGAGGACATGGAGACAGTCTTTGTCTCTGCTGTATTTCTGTAGCTGATGGAAGTAGGACAACTTTGCAAATTAGTCTATTTACAGCCTTGTTCCCCTAGTTGCCCTTGTTGCCCTAGTTACCCTATTTGCCCTTGTTGCCCTAGTTACCCTATTGGCCCTTGTTGCCCTAGTTGCCCTTGTTGCCCTAGTTACCCTATTTGCCCTTGTTGCCCTAGTTACCCTATTGGCCCTTTTTGCCCTATTGGCCCTTTTTGCCCTAGTTACCCTTGTTGCCCTAGTTTCCCTTGTTGCCCTAGTTGCCTTGTTGCCCTAGTTGCCCTTGTTGCCCTAGTTACCCTATTTGCCCTGGTTGCCCTAGTTTCCCTTGTTGCCCTAGTTACCCTATTTGCCCTAGTTGCCCTAGTTACCCTTGTTGCCCTAGTTTCCCTTGTTGCCCTAGTTACCCTATTTGCCCTAGTTGCCCTAGTTACCCTTGTTGCCCTAGTTGCCCTTGTTGCCCTAGTTACCCTATTTGCCCTAGTTGCCCTAGTTGCCCTTGTTGCCCTAGTTACCCTATTTGCCCTAGTTGCCCTTGTTGCCCTAGTTACCCTATTTGCCCTAGTTGCCTAGTTGCCCTTGTTGCCCTAGTTACCCTATTTGCCCTTGTTGCCCTAGTTGACCTGGTTCCCTACTTGGAAGAGTCGCAGTGTCCGCCGAATGCAAAGTTCTGCATCAGGACTGCTTTCGATCTTTGACTCAATCGGTCAGAAAAAGTTGAGTGGAAGAACGAAGGGCTTTGGTTGCCAAGTTGCCTCTCAGTTAAAGGGCCAGACGCTAAGCAGCTTCTCCAAACCAGAATGAAGCTTTTATGATTTGGCGATTCGATGTTGATGTTGCTCCAGGGTCGGCTTCTCCTGAATGTTTATGACTTGCAGAGGAGACCAATGTTTTCTTCACTGTGGTGCAGCAACTTTGGGAAGTGGCAACCTGAGATATTTCAAACTATTGGAGTTAAGCTGAGTCTGTAATGAAGCTGGAATAGGGAAGTTTCTGGTTCTGCCTCCTGGAAGAAGCAAATGTGTTTCGATGTTCCTGTGGTTTCAGAAAAACGCCGGAGCTCGACTTTCCTCCCAAAGACATCGAGATCCTTCAGCCGATCAACGTGGAGCTGCTGGTCACCAGAAACCTGGCTGCTTCCTGGCTGACGGAGATCCCTGCCGTCCAGGTGCAGGGCGTCCTGCGCTCCCTCAGAGTAAGTCTCTGCGCACCAATCAGGACGTCGTCCCCGTTAAGATGCTGACCTGTCCACCTGGACCTGCAGGTGAGTCTGGGGGAAGAGGAGCTGGGCGTGCTGATGAAGATCCTGGTGGAGAACATCGGAGAGGGAAGTAAAGACTCCGGCGCTGACGTCATATCGGCAGCAACCGTAGGTACGTTCGCCTCTACCCTAACCCCTGACCCACTCTTCAAAATGGGAAAGACAAGAAGCGTCCCAGTTGAAATTGGCTCCAGAACTACATCCAGAGGTAACTAAATGGACCTGAGCCAACTGGGTCGAACCAGAACCCAGCTCAGTCTCTTAGCACTCAGTAGGGTCAACAACTCCTCTTACCATCATACTGGGACTTGAACTGGACCAGAACTTTGGTCTGATGAGACCCAGACCGAGTTCTTCAGAATCAAACCCCCAGCTGGGTGAAGTACAGTGGAGGACCTGTGATGCTGTGGGTGTGTTTCCAGAGAACCTTGATGGAGTGAAATAGGTCAGTAATTGATCTCTAACTCAGACAGTAACCCAACCTCCCTCCATGGTCTTCTCTCTCTGGAGAGCAGCTGAGTCTCAAGGCCATGGAGACCAGTGGTCCCCAAACCCAGTCCACGAACTGGTCCCGGTCCGTGGACCAGTTGGTCCCGGGCCACGCAACAGAGGATTAAATATATGTCAGTTTTCTGTATTATGTGAGTCTGCAGGGTCTTTTATTTTGAAAATCCTTTACCGGATTCTCTCGGCTGCGTTTTGGCGCCAACATTGATCCACAAGCAGCAAAATGAACAGAACCAGATCAGATTCTTTGGAAAGTTTGTCTGCAGGCCCAGAGAGGCAGGAGGATGGGTTTGTCCCGGTGGGTTGATTCCCACAGTCCAAGCTGCTCTGGATGGTCAGGTGACCTGATGAGCCAATGAAGCTTCAGACTGCATCACCATGGAGACCCAGTGTCTCCCTGAGCATCACTTCAGCGTCTCCAGCAGGAGAAACAGCTCAGGGTCCATCAGTCGATATCCTGAGTTAAATGTTTAGAAAAGGAAAATGTTGGTTTTGTGGCCCATCTGCATCTTATTTTGAAGGGATATGTAACGGTTACCATGGTGACCAGAGTCAGACAGCGTGAGGTCAGAGGTCAAGAGGAGAGGAGATGTGAGTTTTAGGTCTGGTTGGTTTAAGGATCGTTGGCCGATTTCCCAAACCTCTGTGACCTCAGCCGATAAAAGTCCAACAGGTTCGGTCGGTTTGAGAGTCCAGGAGCAACATGGAACCAGAACCGGTTCCACTGAACGTCCCGGTTCCACTGAACGTCCCGGTTCCACTGAACGACCGGTTCCTCTGAACGTCCCGGTTCCACTGAACGACCCGGTTCCACTGCACCAGAACCGGTTCCACTGAATGTCCCGGTTCCTCTGAATGTCCTGGTTCCTCTGAACGTCCTGGTTCCACGGCACCAGAACCAGTTCCTCTGAACGTCCCGGTTCCACTGAACGTCCCGGTTTACTGAACGTCCCGGTTCCACTGAATGTCCCGGTTCCACTGAACGTCCCGGTTCCTCTGAATGTCCTGGTTCCTCTGAACGTCCTGGTTCCTCTGAACGTCCCGGTTCCAGAAGAAGATCCAGTAAAACCCAACATCCCACAGTGAATTCAGAATAATCAACATGATGCAGGAGCAGCAGTGATAGTTTGTGGATCATTTTAAAGACGAAACAAAAAGAAAAGTCGTTTGATAAAAGGAGCAGCTGCATCATGATCTGGAGATGAGTTTTTTGTTTTTTGGAGTTAAAATTGTTGTGTGCATTGTTTTCTGTTCTGTGGTTTCTTTTAGCCTCACCTCTTAATTATATGATTATGTTTTTACTGTTTTGATGTTTAAATTGAAAACAATGGCCACAAAATAATGGATAAGGAGCCTGCATTAACTTTAAAATCTTGCCTTGTGAACCGGGCTAGTGTCAGGCCAAGCCCCGGCTCTGACCCTAACCCTAATGAAGAAACTTATTGTTATAACTGTGCCGGTTAATGATAGCTGAAAGGTTACCAGGTTCATCAACTGCGATACAGTTTCGCTCCTTATCATTCCTGTTGATATTGAATGAATAAATGCTGAATGAAGATTCGGCATGTTTATTCCTCTCCATTCTTACGTCACCGCTTTCTGATTGGCTGCCTGTCACATTCAACAGGCTGCATTCTCGCTGCCGGTCGGGCAAAACCCCTCAGTCTGCGATAGTCGGGCCAAGACGATGTTGAAAATGGCAGATTTTAGATGGGAGCGGGCCCGACGTTGTACCCCTGGACACGATCAGACGTAGAACGCCTCACACTGCAGGATGATCGTTTGATAATCTCAAGTGGAAATCTTAGAACTCGGAACATTCTAAGATTGTCGTAAGGGAAAAATCGAGGCAAAAAATTGAAAATGGTGCCATGTGAACTATGCTTTAGCGGGCACACCAACATGCAGAAGCCCCGCCCTTCCCCCAGCCGGCCACAGTGATCAAAAGATTGGGGACCACTGATCTGGACCTCAGAGCTTCTCAACCTGAGGAATGTTGGAGAACAGTTGCTGTCCTAAAGTGGAGGCTCTGTATTGTTGCTCAGTTCGGGCCTGAAGAAGACAACCTGGACATGTTGGCTACAAAGAGAAGCAGTCCGATAAAACGCTGTCTCTCTATGCCTTAAGGGGGAGCTGCAGTTTAGCGGAACCAGAGGAATTCTCCTGGAGGAACTGGTTCAGTCTTGAGCTTCAGATTACTTAAAGAACTAAACCTGAGTTTACCTCTGCAGGGAAGGCGGAGCTTAGCGGACAGCCAGAGGCGGAGCCACGGCGGTCTGACGGTCAGACGGCCTCGGCCAGTGAAGGACCGGCTGCAGACGACGTCGTCAAAGTTCTGGTCGACTTTGAAGTAAAAGAGGTGAAGCATTGACCAGGTCAGAGGTCACTGCTCCTGGTCGCTGCTTCACCATCCTACTTCCTGTTGCAGGTGTTGCTGTCCCTCAAGAAGCGCCTTGACCAGCAGGAGGCGCCGTTCCTGGTGTTCCAACTCGACCAGCTGGGAATCCACACCAAGGTCCGCAGGTTCGACCTGTGCGCCACCACCTACATTAGACAGGTTTCCATGAAGAGCCTGGAGTTCAAAGGTCAGACTGGAACATGTCCCTGGGTTCTACTGGTACCTTCCCAGTAGAACCCGGTCATGCTCCAGGTTTCTGTTGTTGCCTCCTGGTTCCAGACGCCGACGGCAACCCGCTGTGTCTCGTCAGCTCCTCGGCTGAGTCCGGCGCCGAGCTGCTCAAGGTGGAGTTCTGCAAGGTAGAAGAACCCGACGATCCTGATGGGCTGGTTCTGATTCTGTTCTGGCTCTGGTCTGAGTCTCTCTGATCCATGTATCCACAGGCAGACCGCACCGGACCAGAGTTCTGCTCCGTCTACAAGAACACGGAGCAAACGATCCAGGTGAGTCCGACTCCGGCTGACGAGACGTTCAGGGTCCCTCCAAGTGTTGGATTTGATGAACTTTAGACCAAATCCTGCTGGACAGATAGTCGTCCAGACATCCGCCCGTCCTTCTGGATCAATGTGTTCCTTAGGTCTCCAGGTCTTCTGCTCTGAGTTCCTCAGTCTCTCCTGAGGACTTCAGGGTTTGTCTTGGTGTGTCCTCAGGTGATGTTCTCGTCTCTGGACATCCTGCTCCACACCCAGGCTCTCCTGTCGGCCGCCAACTTCTTGTCCATGTCTCTGTCATCGTCCAGCAGCGTGCCGCCTGCAGAGAAGAACGTCCGGCTGAAGACGGAAGACAAGATGGCGACTTCCCGGTCTGGTCAGTATCTGTCCATGCAGCGCGAGCTGAACCCGCGGTATGTTCAAAACTAATCCGAGGCTACGGCGTGTCCCACAGGGGTCCTGGTCTCGCCCGCAGACCCGGAGGTGCTGGACCTGAAGGCGACCATGACGCTGGGAGCCTTCAACATCCTGGTCTGCGACCTGACCTCCAACATGGCTGACATCAGAATCACAGGTGAGGACTGTTAGCCTGATGCTACAGCCGGGTCAGCCACGTCCTGTGACCTGTGATTTCGTCCTCAGGATTGGACAGCTCGCTGCTGAGACGAGGCGATCAGACCCAGATATCGGCCCGGCTGCGGGACGTGGTCGTCCTGAACGTAGATCCCAGGTCCGTCCACAAGGAGGTGAGAGCGGGTCGCCTCGGGCTGCAGGGAATGAAGCAAAACCCAGATTCACTGCACAAACTGTCCTCTCCTGCTCCGACCACAAAATATCAAGAAGTTGCCAATAAAAATCTGACAAGTATGGCATGCATTCATTTTCATCTTGAAGAGTCAGAAAGCAGAACCTCATCTGGCTGCAGAACCTCCGTCTCTGTAGGCGGAACGGTTGTCATGTTAGCAGCCATGTTGGTTGTAGCAGAACGGCGTCCAGGTGATGATGTCCCCTGATGTCTCTATGGTCCTCCCTGTCCTGCAGGCTGTCTCCATCGTGGGAGACGAGGTGTTCAGCTTCAGCATGAGTCTGACTCCCAACGCCACCGAAGGCGCCGGCTACGCCGACACCTCTAAGGCGGACGGCCAGGTGAAGCTGAGGGTGGGGTGCATCCGGGTGGTCTACCTGCACAGGTTCATCATGTCTCTGCTGGTGAGTCTAGAGGACAGAAGGACGTCCTCCTGTTTTCTCTTTGACCAATCAGCTTCATTTTCTAAGCTTTTTGTCTTTTTTGCCTCAGAACTTCAGCAACAACTTCCAGGCAGCAAAAGAGGCGCTGAGTTCAGCGACGGCGCAGGCTGCAGAGAAAGCTGCGTCCAGCGTCTTGGCTCAGAGGACGTTCCGTCTGTCCTTGGACATCCGGGTGAAGGCTCCCCTCATCATCATCCCCAGTCCTCCACTTCCCATAATGCACTTGTGATGGACTGGGTCTCATTACGGTGGGGAACAGTTTCTCTGTGCTGCCGGCAGGAGAGCGCCCCCTGCCTGCTGTCGTCGACAACATGGCTGTGCAGCTGTCTGAGCTGCACCTGTCCAGGTGAGCCGACCCGAGTCCGACGGGACCGGGTCTCCGCCTGTGAGAGGCCTAAAGAGCCGGACTTGGCGGTGCAAAGCACCTCACCTGCGTTGTCCCGCTGTCCCGCAGGACCTGGTTGGACTCCATGTCCGAGAAGCCGAGCGTGGAGCTGCTGAGGCCGGTGAACCTGCAGCTCAGCATCAGGAGGAACCTGGCGGCGTCCTGGTACCACAAGATGGCCGCCGTGGAGCTGGACGGAGACCTGAGGCCCATGGAGGTATGTGGATGAGCTCGAGGTCAGAGGTCAGAGCTGAGGTCAGGGTTGCCTCTAAGACAGACCCACATCATCACTCCTCCACCGCCATGCTTCACAGCATCAGGTGTTTCTTCTGGTATGTGGTTCTGGTTCTGTCCGTTCTGGTTCCCACCCACCCTCTCCTGAAGCTAGCAGGCTAACTACTCCAGGCTAGCTCTGCAGGTGAGAAGAGGCCCAGGTTCAGCTCCTGGTTCTGACCCGGTATCTGTGTGCGCAGCTGGAGCTCAGCCAGGACGACCTCAGGGTCACGCTACAGATCCTGTCGGAGAACCTGGCAGAAGCCGGCGGTTCGGATGGCGGCGCCGCCCCAAAGGATGTCCGCCTGCAGGTCCCAGCGACCGCGGCGCCCCCTTCAGGTGTGACAACCGCAGGCGGACCTGAACCGGGTCTTGTGGGTCGCATGTGGGGTTCAAAGCCACCTTTGTTGTACCTGCCCAGGTGAGCCAGCTGGGAGAGGACAGCAAGGTGAGGATGATGCTGTGGAGACTCTCAAGTTTTCCTTCAACATCCAGTCTCTGGGTCTGGTTCTGTATCACGACGACCCGAAACAGGTGAGTAAGGTTGGATCCAGCCAGACTTGTTCCAGTCTGGCTGGTCTCACTGCGGTTCCTGTTCCAGCAGCCGCGGGCCTTGGCCACCAGGAGAACCTCAGACTGGGCCAGCTGGTTCTGAGTCTGATGACGGCTTCAGGACGGGTCAGGTCCAACGGCAGCATGGAGGTGAACACGGTTCTGACGGCGTGCACTCTGGATGACCTGCGGGCCGGACTGAACCGGGTCACGTCACGGTAACGATCACATGAGTGTCTGAACAAATGAGACCCCAGACAGAACCGGGTCACCAGAGGTCCAGACCCTCTCCTGACCTGGTCTGGGACCGACCCAGTTGAAAATGTCATCATTGCTTTTTCCCTCAGAGGTTCTGTAAGTTTTCTTTCCACCTCAAACAGGACGAGAAGAAAGTCGTGTTTATTCAGCGCCGAGGTTCTGTTGGTTCTGCTGGACCTCAGCATAACAGCTTGACTAGTTTTGATGCTTCAGGTCCAATTCACCCGGAAGCAGTGTCTACTGACTTGGTGTTGGGCCGTTGGTTCTGTTGGCGTTGACAGAAGGAGGTTCTCTAAATCAAACTGGTTCCTTTCTGTTTGGGGCGTTTGAAGCCAGTCTGGACTCTGAGCTTCGCTCCGGTCCTTTGGGAAGACGCTGGTCAAGTTCTGCTGTTTTCAACCAGATTGAGTCGGGAAGACGTCCGTTAGTCCAAACCTGGTTGGTCCACAGAAAGTTCTCCAGACATTTAGAGCGTCTTCACACTCGGTTCAGGAGTTGCTTTGACCTGAACTCGACCCCAAGCTGGACTCGTCCATCCTTTAGCGGTTCAGGTCCATTTAAAGGTGATGCTTGTGCAGTGGCAGTCCTTCCTACCTGAAAAGCTTTATCCACTTGGATTGGTCGCTGGTTCTGGAGTGTCGGTTGAATTGGACCTGGCCGGACTAGGTGTCTGCATCTCTCCATTAGAGGTTCTGCTGTGGTCCGGTTCTGGTCCAATGTCTGGAGAATCACCCTCTACTGGTAGAAGTCCTCAGGATCTATTCTTGGATCACTTTTCATTTTGATTTCTACGTTTCCTTTGAGTTTAATTTGTCAGAATTGTCTCTGATCCAGTTCTGTCAGTCTGCAGTCCAAACGGATCTGCCGCGGCGGGCTCCGGCCGTTTGGTGTTTATTGTCATCTGGAGTCGTATCTGTTCCACCAAACTTCAAATATAGAAGCGCTGTGTTTTTGCACTTTGCTGTTGTTTTTTGAAACCTTTTTGCAGCTCTTCTTAAATGTGTAAAGAAACCAGAGTTGGTTCTTGTCAGCATTCTTGGGTTCTGAGAACTCCTGATCTGTCACTGAGCCTCATGTAGAACTTCCAGAAGTTTCAGTTCTAACGCTACAACTGAGCAGTCGGTGTAGAGTTCAATACAAGGTCATTTATACTCTTAGATTCTTGTTCAATGAGCCTCCTTGAATAGAAAAGCTTTGACTTTTATTCTTTAATGTTTGGAGTCAGATTGACTATCGAATCATAAAACTCAACTTAGTGGAGCAACGTTACAGTTTGAGGCTGAAATAAAAAATGTTTAGCTGGACTTCATTGTTGCTGGTCTGTCCCTTGCAGGATGGTGGGACAGAGGGACGAGGGCGTCTCCCAGGCCATGGTGGACGTGACGCTCCGCCAGGGTCCAGTAGAGCGAGAGCTGGTGGCCGTCCTGCAGAAGCTCTATCTGTGTGCCAGCGTGGAGTTCCTCACGGCAGTCGCAGATTTCTTCCTGCAGGCTCTGCCTCCGAGTCCAGCTGCAGCCGTCCCCGCCGCCCCGAGCAACAAGCTGCCACTGAAGCAGATCTCAGAACCACGGAGCGAAACCAAACCCGGTAGGACCCGACAGGACCTGGTAGGCCTGTCTTAGGTTGAGTCAGTTCTAATGAGAGGAGACTCCCGTCGTCACAAACCAGTAGATAAAAACAGCCGATGAACCTGGCTGCTCGTCGGCTGGGGCCCCTGGGGCCATCTGGGTCCTCTGGCTCCTCTGGGTCCTCAGGGTTCTCAGGCCGAGTTCAGTGAGTCGGGCTCCGGGAGCGACTCACCGCCCTTCCTGACCTTGTGCTGTCTCTGCAGCCGCGGCGCTGACGACCCGGCTGCGGGCCGTCGTGGTGGACCCGGAGGTGGTGTTTGTGGCCGACCTGATGAAGGCGGACGCGCCGGCGCTCGTCGCCTCATTTCAGGGCGATTTCAACCTGCTGGCGGAGGCGGACGGAACGCGCAGCGTGAGGGCCAACCTGAGGGAACTGAAGGTTCTGGCCGGCCCGTTCATTCAGAGCAAGGAGAACGGAGCCGTGACCACCGTAAGTCCCGATCTGCAGAATCAGAACCGGTGCTGGTCGGTTCCTCTGATCCACATGTGACTCGTACCAGGTGCTGCGGCCCTGCTCTGTCACACTGGAAACCAGAACCAGTCGGACCCGGCCGGCCAGCGGCTCGGTGACGGTGGAGGAAGTCATCGTTAAGGTTAGTTCAACGTCTCTGCTGTTGTAATATTTCCTTTATTTCAGTTCATTGTCTTTTAGGAATCTGAAGGTTTTTAAAGAAACGTTGAATGAAGCTACTGGGTTGCTATTGTGATGCCCTCCCTCTCTGGAGAGCCCACAGCATCACTCTTCCCATCAGACAGAAATCTAGAGCAGTGTAGATTTCAGTCCTGCAGGTTTTAGATGAGCCACAGGTAATGAAGCATCTTCATGACCTCCTGGGTTCTCCAGAACCTCAGTTGCCCTCCAACGCTGGAGTGTGACACCCCTGATCTAGACTGTTTCTGCAGGAGTTGTGATGAGTTCAACAGAACCTTCAGGTCCAGTTTCTCCAGAATCATTCGGAACCAAGTCTACAGGAAGTGAATGAGAGAGTGGGTGTGTCTCTCTGGGCTCTGATTGATCAGAAACCAGGAAGTCTTCCAGCAGTGGGAGACAGAAACACCAATCAGAAGGGAGGTGTGGAGTTGAAGCTGAGTTCATGATCAGAGATCAAACCGGGTCAGAACCAACATTTGAACATTCTGTGAGAAAACCGGGTCAGGTAAAGTCCCAGTTGAACTGATGGATCTCATGGGCAGGCCGTCCAATCAGGACCGGCTCAATTTCATTGACACATTAAAATTCGTTTAACAGATTTTTCAAGTTTTTTAATCTAGTCAGACATTTTGACCAAAAGTCAGAGATTTTCATTCCTGATAGACTCATTCTTCATAAAGAATCACAAGAAGTGAATGCAAGCTGATGAGCAGGGAGGGGTCAAAGTGGTCTAGTCCAAGTCTGAGTGAGCTGATCCCACTGTCTCATCCGTGTTGTGCTGACTGCAAAACAGGAAGTGCTGAACTGTCATCCAGCTCAGTGTTGCCTCCTGCTGTGCCCAGATCTCTCCGGTCATCCTCAACACGGTGATGACCATAACGGCCGGCATGACGGCCAAGCCACCGGCCGAGCCGGGTCGGGCGTCTCCGGTGGAGGTCAGCGACCTGTGGTCCGTCATGAACGTCTACAACTGCAACTTCTGGTTCCTCGGGGTGGACCAGGCCACCGAGATCACAGAGAGCTACCGGGAGTCTGACGGCAGCACCGATGGGGAAACCTTCACCGCCCAGGTCAAGGTAAACCACTCTGGACTTTCTGGAGCTTCGCTCAGGAGAGGGCGGAGGCTGCTCTTCTTCATGGAGTCTTCCCGTGTTCCAGGTGGTGCAGGTGACGCTGGAGTCGGGTTTGGGCCATCGGACGGTCCCGCTGCTGCTGGCTGAGACGTCCCTTAATGGAGTGGCCAAGAACTGGTCGTCTCTGCTGCAGCTGCAGGCCGACTTGACGCTGGAGGTGATGCAGAGCTTCATGCGGCCAGCTGAGGAAGTTTGATTTTGAAAAGCTTCACTCTGATTCAGTTTGGCAGAGATGAGAACTAAAACATTCCTTATTGAAGTGGGACTGAATCAACTTTAGCAACATTCATTTTTTAAAATTATTTTCACAAAAATACGTTTAAGTTTGAACTCAAAATTTTGAACTTCTGAGTTTTAATGAAACATGAAAGCCTCAGAACCCAAAGTCTCCACCTTCAATTGTCCTGCAACTTGTAGACGTCTCTCTCCTTCACTTGGCTCCAATATCAGCTCATTAAAATTCAAATATTTTGGGAAATATGCAGGATTTGTTTGAGTTTTGCTGCGTTATGAATGAAAAGTGAGCGTTTCCTTCTACCTCCATTTTTCGGTCTAAGCTTTGTTTTCTTGCCATTGTCAGGAATTTAAATATTGTTGATCTATTTCTGCACTACTTTTTCAGCATTCTGGTTTTACTTGTTCATGAAAAAGTTAAGAAGGACCAAAGCATAAATAAATCTAGATATTAGCTGAGCCAATGTTAATGATGCAGATTAATTCCACAGGAAGTCACAAGAGACCAATGATCTAAAGAATCGGACTATCAAAATAAATAATGTCCAAAGGGAGGAAGATTTAGTCTCATTGTGTTGGCTAGTCCAGAAGTCCCAGACTTTTCAAAATAAAGGTGAAAAGAGTCTTCAGTGTAAAGGTCTAAATCGACAAGATTGAACCTGAAAGGGTTCCTGCTGATCTGGCTTTCAGTTCCAATGATGATGTAACAAGTAAACCAATGAATGACCTGGTTCCTTTAGTTGAAATGTAGATGGGCAGGAAGTCCAGAGCTTTACCTTCCACTAAATCTTTTTCCTGAAGCACATTAAACATGACCAAAGTCCTGAACAATCTGTAGAGTAGCAGGTCATCTGGTAACATCCCAGATGACCTTTCCTGCTGATCTGGGTTTCAGATCAGCAGGAATCTGATCTGGGTTGTTGTTCCGTTTGCTGTGCTACGAGGAACCCTCAGATTCCAGTTTTTTTCTTTCATGGAAACAAGCTGACAGTCAGTCTGTGTTTGCAGGTGAACTATTTTAACGAGGTCCACGGTGTGTGGGAACCGCTGATAGAGCGAGTGGACAGCGGCCGGCGCCGCTGGAACCTGGAGCTGGAGGTAACGGATCTCTCTTCATCCTGACCACGACTCATTTTGCTCCACTGATCTGATCGGGGCTCAGATCAGCCAGCGTTTGATCGATTCTTTTTATCCGCACAGATTAAGAATAATCCAGTCATGGACAAGAGTCCCGTGCATGGAGATGACTTTGTGTTTCTTCCTGAACCTCAAACTGCCATCAATATCTGCTCCAAAGAGACCCTGAACATCACTGTCTCCAAGTCCAGCCTCAGCGTCTTCCAAAAGCTTGCAGAGGTTCACCTCAACCCTTCTGACAGTCCAGCAGGGGGTGCTGTTTAGCAGGTCTCCGTTTCGAGGTGGAAATGCCCTTTAATGCTGTTTGTTCTCCTTCAGGCATTCAGTGAGGGAGCAGCCTCAGCCTTCGACCACACTCTGAAGGAGAAACCTCCCTTCACCCTGAGAAATGCTCTGGGAATTCCAATTATCGTGCAGCACAGTGCCAACCTGAGGCGGGTCGGATCCGTGGCACCAGGAAAACTTCACGAGCTGTCGGTGGATCAGAGCATCGAATTGATGCACTCTGCTTTTGAATCCACAATCGGAGGGAAACTGTCAGCTCTGCAGCGTCAGGAGAGCGGCCTGTTTAACCTCACCATCGGTCTGAAACTCCCTCTGATCGCTGCCTTTCCTCTAAGTCCTGACATAGTTTTAGTGACGCTGTCTGTCTGATCCTGCAGTGCCTTCTGGGTACAGCGAGATCTCCAACATCTCTGTGGACAACGCTGGCAGACGTCTCTACAACGTTCGAGGTCCGATGCTGAAGGAGGCGGTGTCGGTGCTGCTGCAGATTGATGCTGCTGAAGGCAACAAGATCATCACTGTACGCTCTCCCTTGCAGGTCAGAACTCAAACCCTCCCCACTTCATTCTAGCTAACACTTGCTGTAGGACGCTCACCATCTCCTTCTATGTCTGCAGATTATAAACCACTTCACAGAACCCTTCACCATCCTGAAATACTGCCCAGCATCCAGAACCCTTCAGAGCATCGGCACAGCAGAGCCGGAACGGGAGTTTCATGTTGATCTGGAAGCATACAGGTGGGTTCTCGGCTAGGCTGGGGTAACTAGTTCTGTCGGACGGCACGGAGCCGAAACTGTCCTGTCGTCTCTTTTTGGCAGGTGCCAGCTGTTTGTACGTCCAGCGGGTCGCCTGGACGGGCTGTACGGTCCGTCTTCCAGCTGCGTGGCCTGGAAGGAGCAGGTCCACTGCAGCTCTGAGGTCCAGTCCGTGCTGCAGTGTCCTGCGTCGGACAGCAACCTGCTGCCGCTCATGGTCAGCACGCTGGCCGTCCCTGACGAACTGCGGCACATCAGCAGCCACGGCGAGGAGGACTGGGACCCCGCCTACGTCCTTCACCTGCATCCAATGGCAGCGCTGTGCAACCTGCTGCCGTACACCGTCAGCTACATCATGGAGGTAGGGTTAGGTCTGTCTACCTACTGATCAAGCTAATGAGTAAATGAATGGACTTGGAGGAGGGGTTGAAATGTCAATTGGCAGGAAGTCCAGAGCTTTACCTTCCACTAAATCTTTTTCCTGAAGCACATTGAAACACGATCAAAGTCCTGAACAATCTGTAGAGTATCAGTTGAAAGAATAACATCCCAGACGACCTTTTCCTCACGCCTTCACAATGACCTCAGCAGGCCTTCAACACCTTGTACCGTCATATTTGGATTAGAATGTTAGATTCACTTCATCCTTGAAAAACGGGCTTTAAATCTGACCCGTGTGTTTTGTTCTGCTTGGTGTCCCGCAGAACTCAGCTGAAGTCTATGAGATTCAGGAGGGCAGCACCTCAGACCTGCTGAACGCCCGCTTGTCGGGTGAGATCATGTCTGTGGCGCTGATCCAGTACCAGGGCCGGGGCTGGCACGGACACATCCAGATCAAACGGGAACTACCCGAGTTTTTCGCCGTGTGTCTGACCTGCGACACGGATGCGGCGCTGACGGTGGACGTGAGCGTTCACGTGACAAAGACAGCGAGCCGCATCCTGCTGTCGCTCTTCAGTCCGTACTGGATCATCAACAAGACGAGCCGGGTGCTTCAGTACAGCTCAGAGGACGCCGTCTTCAAGCATCCGGCCGAGTACCGAGACGTTGTCCTCTTCTCCTTCAAGAAATCAAATCTGTTCACCAAAAGCAAGGTGAGAGTTGCCGTGAAGGCGGCGTTTAATCAGACCGCCTTAAAGAGACGCCTTAAGCAGTTCAGACCCTCCAACGGATTGTTGTTCAGCCAGATTTAAAGATTTTTCTAGATTTGTTCTGAAGTTTTTCTCTCAGTTTTAGTTAAAGTAACGATATGAAAGCTTATTTATCCAATATTTATTCTGCAGATAGGGCTGATCATTGATATTCACCTCTATGTATACAACAGAATATTTTCTGTATTTGACCGGTTACTTCCTTAAATGACCGGAAAATTTCTTCTTTCCTTCAGTTAAAATTCACACAATCCTTCACTACATCACCAATACAGAAACAATGTGGAAATGACGATCAGTTGTCAATATCAGCCTGTTTTCACTGATCAGATTGATCAGTTCTCGTTCAATCTGTCACTAGACATGTTTCTGTCATCACTGCATGGTTCTGCTTCGGCTCCAGCAGATGCTGAGGCTCAGTTTTGATTTTTCTCTCCCCATGAAGACGTTTGTCTTCAAACACAGCTTGAGCGTCCATCTGGATTTGGGTTCTAGCAGCTTCTTGCTGCATGTGGATTCAAATTGATTGTGTTAAAACAATGTGTGGTTTCTTTGCAGCTGCAGCTCTGCATCTCTACCAGCTCCTTTTCTGACGGCTTCTCCCTGGACACAGTGGGAAGCTACGGTTGCGTCCGCTGTCCCTCCACCAACATGGACTTTTTGGTACGTCCCATTGCCTCCTACTGCTTTTAACTCTGTGTGGCTCTCATGCTGAACTTCCTTCTGTCGCCCCCTGCAGGTGGGCGTCAGCATCCAGATGAGCAGCTTCAACCTGACCAGAATCGTCACCTTCAGTCCGTTCTACACGTTGGTCAACAAGTCTTCATACGAACTGGAGGTGGGAGAACTCCTCAGCCAGACGGCCACTAGGTGGCACTACGTCCCATCCACCGAGGTGAGGGGAACCGGCATCAGAACCCGGCCCGGGTCAGAACCTGGCCTGGTTTCAATCTCCTGCTGTTGTCTTGCAGTGCCTCCCTCTGTGGCCGGAGAATGCCTCCAAGAAGCTTTGTGTCCGAGTGGTGGGATCACTGTCCCACTCCAAGTTCTTCTTCTTCAGTCAGCAAGACAACGGCACCCTGCTGAGCATGGACGTGGTCAGTGTTGTCTCTGGACCTTTGACCTTTACAGCACTTCCAGGCTTTGACCTGAGAGTCTTTGCAGTGTGGAGGGATCATGGTGGATATCAACGTCTCCAATCACGCCACCATCATCAGCTTCAGTGAATATTATGACGGAGCCGCCCCCGCCCTGCTGATTAACCACACGCCCTGGGCCACCATCAGCTACAGGCAGAGGTCACTCACACACACACACACACACACACACACACACACACACACACACACACACACACACACACACACACACACACACACACACACACCTAACCCTAACACAGGAAGGTTTGACAAAATGGTCCAAAGAAACCAGTTTGCTGCAGCGGCTCAGAAAAGATTATGATGCTGTCTGACAGGTTTCTTCTCTTTTCATTGGAACTTTTAGAACTATGTGACCTTTAACCTTCTGGGTGGTGTGATTAGTGTCCAATGTGAGCATCTGTTGCTCTGGACAACATGTGACATTAGCATGACTGTTACTGCCCGGCTCAGATGACCACAACGAGAAACTGGGGGAACTTGATGCCAGATGCCATGCCTTTATCTCCTCACGGTTGGACTACTGTAATGCCTCCTCGTTGGGACCTCTGGTAAAAACCTGCAAAAGCTCCAGCACATTCAGAACTGTGCTGCCCGGGTCCTGATGAGGAGGCGCAAATACAACCATATCACTTCTGCTCTTCATTCACTTCATTGGCTACCGATCAAATATAGAATACATTACAAACTCTGTCTGCTCACCTATCAATGCATCCATGGAACTGCTCTGCTTATCTCAGTGAACTCCTCTCACCGCACGCTACCTCTCGAAATCTTCATTCCTCCACCTTCTTCTACTGCCTACATCAACCGAAGACCAAACTAGCCACTATGGGGGATAGGGCTTTTCAGGCAGTAGCTCCGCGGCTCTGGAATGCCCTTCCAGAGTCCCTGAGAGCCCCACAAGGTGTGGAGGCCTTTAAAATAGGTCTGAAGACTCACCTTTTTAAACAGGCCTTTTAGAACTGTAAGTTTTATTTTAAATTGTTAGTTTTAATGTTTATTTTGGTACCGCTTGGTGTGATATGTATTATTTTATGTTTTACTGTAAGCTTTACAATTTATCTTTTTTAGTCTCTGTAGCACTTTGAGATTTCTTTGAAATATAAGGTGCGTTACAAATAAAATTTATTATTATTATTATTATTATTATAAGTGCTCCTTATATCCAGTCCAGGTGGGTATGTGATCATAAGTTCCTCCCGTCTCCAGGAATTTAATTGAGGTACAGTTAACTGGCCACCACACAATGAAAAATGTACGTTCATGGTACGTGGAATACACACAACTTGCCAAGAAGAGCCACCACCTTGATTTACCTGACCAGGCCTAAGCTTCCTATTGGATGATCAGTGCAGGTTGATGACCTTCCAGATGCATCAAGGTATAAACCTTGACCTAAACAGCCATGGAGAAAGACTCATCCCTTGGTGTGGACGATGTTAGTCTAGGACCAGGTGGGCAACTCCAGGCCTGGAGGGCCAGAGTCCTGCAACTTTTAGACGTGTCTCTACTTCAACACACCTGAGTCACATAAGGAGGTTGTTAGCATGACTCTGGACAACCTGACTGCATTGAGGAGGAGATTCAGCTGTTGAAAGTGTGATGGACCAGAAAGACATCTACGAAACTAAGAAAGGACTGGGATTGCCAGGATCTTTGGCATCAAGCAGAGGAAACAAATCTGAAAATGCAGAAACTAAAACTGGGTAGAGAATTGCAAGGTTAACAATCATCTTGGAGGAAGAAATGTCGTCAGAAAAACACCCTGAATGAGGGTTATGATCGATTATTATAGAAACTTTTGAAATCAAATGGAAGAAAAACAACAACAAAACTCACATTGAGTGGAAATGTTTCTACTCGGTGTGACAGGAAATCAAAAATCAGGGACGCTGACCGCAGGAAAGGCTTCAAAGGAGCAGAAAGTTTGGAGTGAAGGAAGAAAGTCATGTGATGATTTACTCCCTTTCAGAATGACGGGCACTTCAGTAAGAAGAGGCCGATGAAGTGATGCTCCCATCGTTTCTCTACTAACTGCCTGATAACATTTCAACCACTATACACCAACCAGGTCCTCTGAATCCATCGCCCGTCCCCATGGTGGAGAAATTGGCTCCAAACTGAACTTGATGCTTGAGTCATTTTTTTCCTCATCACCCTGAAACCATGTTTTTGACTCTTGCAGTGGTTCAGAGGTGACCCACAAGCTGGAACCCTGCCAGGCCCGACGCTTTTCTTGGGATGACCCAGCAGGAACCCGCAAGCTCTGCTGGAACTGCAAGGAGCATTCAGGGGAGCTGGACCTGCTGCAGGTCTGTGCTGCACACGCCTTCATCGGTTTCAGTGCTTTCTGGACGGTAGACATACAGTTATGCTCATAATAATAGCATTATCTTTCAAAAATTGAGTACATCTCAAAATCACCAAATAAATTGTCTTTTGATCAACACAAATGCATTGAGGCGACTCAAGCACATTCTATGTCACAACAAGAAAATCCGAAAAACTAGTTGAACATAATATTTTTAGGAAAGTCAGTAAATATAATGTTAAAAAATAGCGGTGTTGACATCTTTCTTCATAAACTCAAAATATACTGCATAAACTAAGAAATTCTTAAAGATTCCACTTTCCTGAGAATCACAAACTAATATTTAGTTGTATAATCATCATTTTGGACAACTGCTTCACATCTGTGGTCCATGGAGTCAATCAAATTCTTGCAGCCCCAACCCGACCCCTACCATACAATTTAGCTTAAAGAGAAGCCAAAAAATCCAGCAATCTCTTGAAGACCCAGAGTTGTTTGCAACATGGAGCCAACAGGAAATATTTTCCTGCCTTGAGAGTCGTTAGAAGGTCCAGCTGGTGATTTGTCGGTTCACGGATGTCTGGAGGAACAGTTCCTCCTGTCTTCCAGGAGCTAACTCTGGGCCCTTCAGTCCTTTCTGTTCCCCAACCAGCTGCCTGTAAATGTGGATGCCGTTAAAACCTCCCGCACTGCCGCTTCATAGAGCGTCTCGCTTTGCCTCCTTCAGGATGCCGTGAGTCAGTTTACCTATGACGGCCAGGCTCAGGTCCACTGGGTGTCCTTCCTGGATGGACGGCGGGTGCTGCTTTTCACCGAGGACACCGGCGTGGTGACCAAGGCTCGGCAGTCGGAGGAGCTCGAACAATTTCAGCAGGAACTGAAAGTGTCTCTGCAGAACCTCGGCCTGTCGCTCATCAACAACGGCGACCGGCAGGAGATCGCTTACATCGGCATCACCAGGTAAAGTCCATGTTGTCTGACTCAATCAACAGTGGAGGCAGCACAGCTACCTCCAGAAACACACAGGGCTTCACATAAAGAAAACTTTTGTATCATTTTACAATAATTCTTGAAACGTTTTAAAATAAATGTGGTTATGCCACAACAAATATGCAGGCACTTTAACCCTTTTCAGTCATGAGTTAGTCCTGAGCGTCCAGCGCTGCTGGTGAAGTGACTCTGCTGCGGTTCTGACTCACAGCTCTGGCGTGGTTTGGGAGTTTAAGCCAAAGAATCGCTGGAAGTCCTTCAGTCAGAAGAACATCAACCTGCTGGAGAAGGTTTACCAGAATCAGCTGAGTGGCAAGACGGAGGGAGGCTGGGTCAGACTGGACAGCAACCTGGAGGTCAGAGGTCACCACAAGCAACTCAGTCAGGGGTCCATAGTGTACATCTGACCCAGACTTCTGTCTGAAGAGCTGACTGTAAGTTTGTGATGTCACCGGTTGCTAGGTGAACCTCAGCCCAGCTGTCATGATGATGCGGCAACCCCATGCCTGTCCTGTGAGGAGGAACTTCCTGTCTGGGATCCAGGTGGAGTTCAAGAGGTCACTGCACCAGCGCAGCCTGAGAGCCCAACTGCACTGGTTGCAGGTAAACGTTCACACACCTGGACACGCACTTGGACTGAACCTCCCTCTCCTGCTGGACTCAAACGCTGGTTTATTGGTGACAGGTGGACAACCAGTTGCCAGGTGCAGTTTTCCCCATCATCTTCCATCCAGTCCCTCCACCAAAGTCCATTGCTCTGGACTCAGGTGTGTCCTTCTATTCCCATTAAGCCTCAAACTGACTGCAGAGTCTAACTGTGAGTTCTGCCTCCTCAGAGCCAAGACCCTTCATCGATGTGTCTGTCATCACAAGGTTCAACCAGCACAGCAACGTCACCCAGATTAAGTAAGAACCACAGCAGGGAACCAGTTTCTGTGAGTGAGACCTGCATTCAGGTGAGTCTTCTAACCTTCCTGTGTGCTTCAGGTACTTCATGGCTCTAGTTCAGGAGATGGCGTTGAAGATCGATCAAGGTTTCCTTGATGCTGTTGCAGCTCTGTTCAGCCAGCTGCTAACCTGCAGAACGATGGAAAGAAGGTGAAGAGAAGCAGAAACTGCATAGTTTCCCTGAACTTCACAGATGAGATGTTACTTTAAGCTGTTTGTGTTTCAGTCTGACTCATCGAAGGAGATTTGAAGCGTCTTCAAGCCGAGCCGACTGACGCCTCTCTGTCCGACGTGTCGGGACTCAGCTTCTTTGAGCATTTTCACATCTCACCTGTCAAGGTAACCTCAGTCCTGCTCTCTTTGCTGGATCAGACATATTATGTCATACTGAATTCATATAATATGTTCTAAAACTCCAACCTGAGAGTTGTTTCTGGAGGGTGTCCAGACGGCTGGGCAGCAAGTCCTCACTGGTCCTGCTTTACCTTCCAGCTCCACCTCAGTCTGTCTCTGGGCTCCAGCGACAGTGACTCTGCCCAGAACAACCCCATTACGCAGTCCCTGAACCTGGTGCTGAAGAGCATCGGTGCTACTCTGACCAACGTTGATGATATCATCTTCAAGTAAGTATCTTCTGTTTGCACAGAAATGGCTGCTGAAGTAGTTTCTTTGTCCAGATGTTGATTCTCCTCTGTGTTTCTGTCAGACTGGCCTTTTTTGAAGTGAGGTACCAGTTCTACAGCAAAGAGAAGCTGATGTGGGCTGTGGGCCGACACTACTCTGAAGAGGTAACATCATTGCCCTTCCTTAGCCTGATCCTCTAACTGTTCAACCTGGGATGTGGGGACGGGTCCTGCCAAAGTGTCTGTTGTGAACGTCTGGACCTCTCTTCTTTCTGCAGTTCCTTAAGCAGATGTATGTTCTGGTTCTCGGCCTGGATGTGCTGGGTAATCCGTTTGGAATGATCCGAGGCCTTTCTGAAGGCGTGGAGGCCTTCTTTTATGAACCATTCCAGGTAAAACATCTAGTTTATTGCAAAGTCCACGTCAAACCCAACCAACTTGGATGTTCTGACGAAGGGGATTCTGTGTGTTTGCCAGGGAGCCGTTCAGGGTCCAGAGGAGTTTGCTGAAGGTTTAGCGATCGGGGTCCGCAGCCTTTTTGGTTCAACTGTTGGTAAGAGCCTTGGAGGAAGATGTTGATTTAATTTGTGACGGCTCCTTATTTCTGTGGTCAGTACTTCCAATGGGTGTTTGTCCTGTAGGTGGCGCTGCAGGAATGTTCTCCAAGATCACAGGCTCCATGGGTAAAGGCCTGGCTGCCATGACCATGGACAAGGAGTTCCAGCAGGAACGCAGAGAGGACATGAACCGGCCGACGAAGGACTTCAAAGACAGTCTCGCCAAAGGAGGAAAAGGACTGCTGAAGGTCTGGAGAGGAACGTTCTGGTTTTGCTGGACCAGCAGTGATCTGATGCATCTCAGTAACAAGCCGTGTTTCTGCAGGGCGTTGTTGGTGGGGTTACTGGCATTGTGACCAAACCAGTGGAAGGTATGTGTTTGATGGCTCCCATTTTTTGGAAAGTTCAAGTCATTTTCAGGAGAACCGAAACACGTTTAGGACTTTTGACCTTAAATGAAAGAAAATACAAGTTTTGGTCAAGGTTTAAGAATGAATTAAAGCTTTGAACTATTTTCCATGAAATCCCAGAAATACTTGTTTTCTGATTACAACCTGACACTTCTTGATCCGGATTCCTGGAGCCCATAATCCAGATCTTCTAAAATACTTTGACTCATCTGGATTCTGGAAACCCTCAGATCTGAAACCTTCAGGTTCTTTAAAGCCATTTGAAACTTCCAGGGTGACGACCTGTTAGATCATGTAATCCAGGTCTCCTGGATTATTTGATCCAGATTCTGAAAACATAATATTCCCTCTCAATTCAAACAATGATACTAAATACAACAGTAACTTTACAAATACGGAATTATAAATCGGTTTTGTAGATAAAAAAAATCAACACTGCAGCACTTTTTATTGACTTATCAAAAGACTTTTTCTACAGCTGATGATAAAATGTTACTGAAAAGTCTCTCTGTTACTGATCAATAAAAATCAAATGATTTTAAACCAATCGTTTGGTTTAAAAACAAATTGTCCAGCAGGTCAATTTGGTTATTCTTCCACCTGCTTTTAAGTATCCCAGGGTGTTCAACAAGGTTCTGTCCTAGGACCTCTTCTTTTTATAATCTATACTAACAGATTAGATCAAAATGTCCCAAATGCTAATTGTTGACACTGTCCTATGCTGCAATTCAGTTAAAAGTGCTTCAAGCAGCTTTTGATGAGGTTCAGTGTAATCGAAAGTTTATTTCTAAAGTCATCTCCAACTATAGGAATATTTCAAATTCATCCATTTTGCAGGCACTCAGATGAAGGTTGTGTGTCGGTATAAATATTTAGGTTTTGTTAATTGGTTCCTTGGACTTTCTTCACATACAGAAGCTTGTCAAAAAGCTCAAGTTGGGTTTTATTTCATAATTCCATTTTGTTTATCATTTGAGTCTATGTTGCTGCCACTTTTGGCATATTTTAGATTATTGTGACGTGATTTGTATGTTTGCATGTTCAGACTGTTTGCGCAGGGTGTATTCTGGATCTTATGGAGCGTTTCCTCTCTGTCCTGTACGCCGTTGTCTGCTGGTTTTATTCACAAAGCCATCTTGCGTTTACTCCCCCCTCTGTCTTGAGACGGGGTAAAGCCCCGTCACAAGAGAGAGACAAATGTTATTGTCAGAACATTTCCAGGCGCTCGGATGATTTCATTTTATTAACACTGAAAATCCCTCAAAAAACTTTCAGTTGAATTAGGTGCTTTTTAAGGCCTTATTTAATCAGCCTGTAATTGAGACATTTTTGTAAATGCTAGTTTCAGTTTTAGGGCTGCCTGCGCTGTTGTTTTTCTTCTTTGTTGTATTTTCTTGGGGTTCTGATTTGTAATTATGAGTGTTGCTGCCAGTTTGGTTTCGGGGTTAAGGTCCTATCTGCCTAAATATAGGTTACATACACGTCAATCTTGACCGTGTTCTGTCGACCCATCAGAACATCATGGATCAGCTCCAGATCACTGAAACCCTCCCAATTATTCAGCCAACAGATTTTCTCACATGCTTTGGTCCAAAACTCTTTTTGGCTCAGAACCTCTGGCTGCCGACTCAGAGCTGGTTGCCAGTTGAACCCACCCTGTGTTTCCGTCCCCAGGAGCCAGGAAGGAGGGCGCGGCCGGCTTCTTTAAGGGCATCGGGAAGGGCCTGGTGGGTGTGGTGGCGCGGCCCACCGGCGGATTCGTGGACATGGCCAGCAGCACCTTCCAGGGGATCCAGAGGTGAGGTTTGGCGGCTCGTGATGCGTTTCCTCTGGGAACTTCCTGTGGGCGTCTAAATGTTGTTGCTGTTTCTCTTCTCTAATTTTCACATTTTCTGCTTTTGTTTTCTGTCTGCTGTGGTTGTTGGGATTTCTGTTCTTTGTGTTCTTCGCTGTTTGGGGTGTGAGTATTCCACCTGAACTGTTGGAGCTGTGCTCTGTCCATGGCTGCTGCTCAATCAGGTTGCTCAATCAGGTTGCTCAATCAGGTTGATCAGGTTGCTCAATCAGGTTGCTCAATCAGGTTGCTGTTTGACTTGATGATGGAGCTGAGCTTTAACCAACTGCAGATGTTTGCATGTTAAATGGTGCTGCACACTGCTGGTAAGTCGCAGCATCGTGTTTCTTGCACCGGGTCCAACTCGCTGTTTGTGGCTCCGCCCCTTTGTCAGCATGTTGTTTGGCCACGCCCTCCGAGGAGAACTTCCTGTCCCGCCTGCCGGAGCACAACGAAAACTGCATGAAAACATGACAGGGCCTTTTCTTCTTCGTTGGCCCCCCTACGAATGAAAACCATCGCCAGCGACTGAAACCAGGCTGAAATGCTCCTGCACAACCTGATGGAGGGTCCAATGTTCACTGCAGTCAGAACCGCTGTTGGTCTGACCTCAGGGGACGGCGGTCTGATGGGTGTGAATGGTTTTGATTGGTTCTAGGTTGCATGGTTCTCACTAACAGCTGCTATGTCTGTTGCCATTTTGCAGAGCTACTAAAAGTTTTGGTGCATCAATGTTTCTGGAGTTTTTTTTTCCCAAATGAAATCTTGAAATTTTTCAAATGAATTAAAATGTTGATAAAAATAACGATGTCGCAGTGAACAAATTCCCACTGAGATCAGATGAAATTATGGCTCCTCTCCTGATTGGAGGAGCCATCTGTCATGTGACCCGTAAATTCACTGTAACCTGTTGAAGTTTCACGCTGCCTTGCAGAGGTCCCACCAGGTGAGCCCTTACCTGAGAGCAGCAGCTCAGAGTCCAGTCAGGATCAGAACCGTCAGTCTGCTAGAGCGGGGCTGTGACTCCACAGCACTCTGAACCGCTCATTCAAGTCTGTGTGTGTGTGTGTGTGGGTGTGTGTGTGTGTGTGTGTGTGTGTGTGTGTGTGTGTGTGTGTGTGTGTGTGTGGGTGTGTGTGTGTGTGTGTGATATCAGAGCGGCCGAGGCAACAGAGGAGGTGACCAAAAACTCCGGCCGGTCCGTCTGATCCGGGAGGACGGGATCATCCGACCTTATGACCTCACTGAGTCGCAGGGTTTCCATCTCTACCAGGTTAGACTCTTCTCTGTTTCCATAGCAAGAAGGCATGTTTTCCTGCATGAAGGAACCCAGAGGAGCAGACAGTCTGGTCTTTTACACAAACATCTGGTGTGTGTGCTGACACTTTGACTGGGTCAAAAGGTTCCTTCTCTAGAAAGTTTGTAAAGTTAAAAACTTTGAAAGAAACCAACAAAGGATCCAGTTGAGGTCCATAAAAACCTGAACCAGCCGTTAGCTTCAGGGAAACCCAAGGAAAAAAGGTTCGGTTCTTAGAGGAGCTGCTGCTGGTTAGAAGAAATTCTTCTAAACCAGCCCAACGCTGCGTCAACGCAGAGGGAGAAAACTGGAGCTGCAGCTCTTTATTTCACTTTATTACAATGAAATGTCAGCAAATGTTAAGTTCCAGTCGTTGCCTCCAAACGGCAACAATATCTGACATGGGCTGTTTATATCTTTGTTCAATGTATGCGCTTGCTGATAAAGTTCATCATCAAGGTTCTGCAGAACCTTGTAACTGGATCAGGAGCCGTTGACCCAGTTTGAAAAAATATGTTTGAAATATTTAATCATATTTAATGATCTAGAAAACTCCAGAAAAAATATTACTACCACAACAACTTCTGCTGCTACTACTAGTAGTAGCAGTACTGGTAGTGACAGTGGCAGACCCTTCATCTCCTCCTCTTCCTCGGCTCGTTTGCTCTTTTCTTTCTCATGATGTCGTGAATCACTGGCTTGACTTCAGGAAGCTGTGAAGTTCAGATCAGCGTAAATTTGAGGTGGAATAATTCTAACCTTCTTCTTCTTCTTCTTCTTCTTCTATTTGCTTCCTGCAGCCGGAGGACGACTTGGCTGGTGATGAACATTAACTCTTTCAGATTCATGGTTCTTTGATATAATCCTTGTTAATCTACAGATATATTTATCAATGTTGAAATCTGAATATTAAATGGAAATCAGATTTCCATTCATGCCAAACAGACATTTTTACTTCCATCTTATTATGTTTCTAAACTATCTGCTTTTTACTTTTGGTTTATATTCATTTACAGTTTATTTAAACCCAGTGGAGAGGAGTCATCTCTAGTTATTTTGATATCAATAAATTCATGGTGATGTTGCTTTAAAGCAGTAGATGTTAATGTCAGGATCTCCGTGTTGGATCGAAACGTTAATCCTCTTGTGAAACCGGCTCCTTCGTCGGTTTGTGTTCAAAGTTTAATAAAAATCTCTGGACCTTTTTTTCTGCTACGGATCATTTTCTCATCCCATAATCCCAAAAGCCTTGAAGCTCCAGCTCCAGAACTCTGAGCAGGTTCTGCATTTCAGTTTAGATGACGGCTGGACTTTGAATAGACCAGGGCTGCTCAGGTCCAGTTCTTCAGAGCTGCCATCCTGCAACTTCCAGGTGCTTCCCTGCTCCAACACACCTGAATCAAAGGAAGGGCTCGACACCAGGCCTGTTCAGAGCCGATCCTGGACTTGAGTGTCAATGTCAAATTTATTTATATAGCACTTTAAAACAGGTATAAAAGCAGCAAAGTGCTGCACAGGAACGACAGTAACACAAATAGATAAAAACAGAATATCAAAAATTGCTTCAGTTAAAAGCCAACGAATAAAAATGAGTTTTGAGAAGCGATTTAAAATGATCCAGGCTGCTAGCAGATCTAATCTGAAAAGGCAAATTGTTCCATAAATTCGGAGCAACAACAGAAAAAGCCCGATCTCCTTTCCTTAGTCGGTCCGAGGGACTGGAAGTAAAAGCTGATTGTTTCATCTGAGGGTTCTGGACACAGACTGAAGTTTTAAAAGATCCTGAAGATAAGGGGGAGCTAACCCATTTAAAACTTTTTAAGTTAATAAAAGAATCTTAAAATCTATTCGATACATAACAGGCAGCCAGTGTAAATTGACCAGCTTAGGCCTTATATGGTCATGCTTCCTGGTTCCTGTAAGAAGCCGTGCCGCTGCATTCTGGATCATTTGAAGTCGATGTGTCTTGCAACTTCTTGGTTCTTTTTTCTTTCGGCCGTTCTGTTCTCCATCAGTTGCTTTACAGACAGACCTTAGAAAACTTTGCTCTATAGAGCAGATCCCGGTCCATTCAGAGCCTGCATCCCAGGTCATAATACCTCCACCACTGTGGACACTCTCTCAGAGGACTCGTCTCTGCTAACCTCAGTGCAGTCGCCATCTTGTGCCTAGATAGAAGAGGCTTTCAGTGTGAAATGACCCTTTGACCTTTAAACTGTTAACTGAGGCCTATAGAGTCTGAGGTGGAGCTTTTTGGTTTGTGGTCATTTTTCTGAGCTCCACTATCTGACCTCTGAACCTTCTGGGATGTGTGAGAGTTTCCCTCTCTAGAGGATGATGGAGTCCAAGTAGTTCAGAAATGACCTTTGACCCTTCCCAGGACGATGAGGAGCAGAGGTTGCTCACATTGTGTTGCAGCACCTGCAACCTGCAGAGCAGTAAAACTGCTTTAGTAGAGAAGCGTCAACGATCCGTTCATTGACGATCTGATCATTGACGATCTGATCATTGACGATCCTTTCATTGAAGATCTGATCATTGATGATCCGTTCATTGACGATCCCTTCATTGACGATCTGATTATTGACGATCCGTTCATTGATGATCCATTCATTGATGATCGTTCATTGACGATCTGATCATTGAGGATCCGTTCATTGACGATCCCTTCATTTACGATCCGTTCATTGATGATCGGATCATTGACGATCATCATTGACGACGATCATTGATGATCATTGATGATCCGTTCATTGACGATCTGATCAGCTGCTCCTGCTTGCTCCGCCTCTCTCTGCTTCAGTGGAAGCAACAGAGTGAACTGGGCTTTACTGGTGGGTTACTGGGAGATGAAACTGGTTGAGGTAAGCTGCCTTCCTGGTAAATGAGTCTTTGGTTACCCTCCTCTGCTTGTTGCTGAACAGCAACAGGAACTGTGCTGCAGGAGTGTTTGTGTTTCTGTGTCTCCAGAGGATCAAACATCTGGACGGTGAAGTGTTCAGAAGCTGCAGTCCGACCCCAGGCCACAGGAAGTCCAACATCATCGTCACCAACAGGTGGAGCCGCCCGAACGGCCAGCAGCACACAGAGCCTCGCTTGGTAGCGCTGTGTGACCCAGTTCTGCTTGTTGTTGTGTAGACGCGTGTTCTGTGTGAAGGAGATGGATCTGCTGGGTCACCTGACTACTGACTGGGAATGCTTGTTTGAGAACTTCTACCGTCCTCCGGCGGTGTCCGGATCAGAGCTCAAGATTTATTGCAAGGTAACGGTGCTGCTAGCATGTTGTTGCTAAACCTCACCTCTCTACTGAACTTCATGTCTTTTCCTTCTAAAACTGGTTGAAGTTCCAGAGCAGCTGAACATTTGCAGCTTCTGTTTAGCTTCAGAGATCCGTCTCCGGTCAGGTGGTCTGCTGTGTTAGGAGGCCAAAGATGCAAAATCAACATAAGTTTGATCTCACAGCATCTCAGGCAGATATGGAGCGTGAGAAACTATGGGATCCGTAAATCTTACCCTTTGGTACGGATTTCCCGTGCCGATGTTTGAGTCTGTGTTTCTCTCATCTTGTCAACCTGAAAAACCTGAGACTGGTCAGCGCCGTCCTCTCCTGGACGTGACGGCGCGGCCGGTCCACTGACCTCCTGCTGTTTGTGAAAAATGTGTTAAATTTGATTAGCATGTTAGCGCTGCTTTCAAAGCCATTTTCTTTCAGCTGAGGATCTTTGCTAAGTCATTGGTCACGTTTAGATTATCATGACTCTTTGTACTCAGCATTGGAGCAGAGCAAACAAGATGCTGCAGCTCCAAGATGCTGCAGCTCCAAGATGCTGCAGCTCCAAGATGCTGCAGCTCGTCTGCTGACCAAAACCAGGAGGCCTGAATCTGACCCTGGTTTTACGACCCCTTCACCGACTCCCTGCTGCGTCAGGATCCAGTTTAATGTCTTATTGATGGTTTAAAGTGTTTTTGGGTCCTTGGTGCTGAAGTGAGCTCTAGCAGCTCTGAGGTCGGCTGGCGGCCTGAAGCCCTGACCCCGACCCTGACCCTGACCCTACGCAGACGGAGCCTCGGTGGATCGTCTCCCTCTGGCTGCTGAACTGAAACTCGTCTTTCCTCCCAGCTTCAACTCCAGCTGCAGAGAAAAGGAGGGAAGGAAATGGCTGCAGCTAAAACTCCATGTTGTTGGTTTTATTCACTGTTAGCTTTTGGAATCTGACAGTTTAATATTTATTTGTCTTATTAATGTTATTTTCTATTTCATCATTAGTTTACCTGGGTTGGGTTTGTTGTGAGGAGCTTGGTTAGTTCAGGCTGTTGGAAATGTGCTGTACAAATAAACTTTGACTTGACTTATTTTTATTAGCTTCATACAGGTAGATTGTGAAAAGAAATATCCAAATATTTCTGAAACACTGAGGTTAGATACAGACACAGTGACATCACTTCCTGTCTGGAGGTTCCATTGCCTGATTGGTTCCTGTCTCTCTTGTTTCTTTCAGGAGATCCATAAACTGAAGCTTCCTAAAAATCAGGAGCCTGTCAGAACCATCCAATTCAAAGACCCAAAATCTGCCAAGGTCAGACTTTAACTTTAAAACATCTGTCAGTTCTGATCCGTTTTACCAAGAGCCGATTCACGAGACACTTTAGTAAAAATTTCTAACAATTACAGCAGGAATCAATTTATGTACAGAAACATAGGCAATCAGAGATTTAAAACATGTTCATAAAACAATGAAGAATCTAGTTCAGTTTAACATTACATGCACATAGTGACAGTGGAGAGGAAAACTCACCTTTAACAGCAAGAAACCTCCAGCAGAACCAGAGGCCAGAACCTAGCTCAAGCAGCAATCTGCCATGACCGACTGAAGGTTTGAGAAGACGCAGCAGAGACACAACAGAAACGAAACTGACTGAGGAGTACCTTCTATGTAGAAGAACAGAAGCACAGCAGAAACATTAAGAGACCAAAAACAAAGCAGATTTAAATCCTGCACTGAAAAAACATCAAATCTTATCAATATTATTGTTCTAGTTTAGTCCAAATATCTTAGTTCACATGAAATAAGACAAAACAAAGAACTTTTCAGCAAGATGGGGGCTCTGGCTTTATGTCAGAGATTCCTTAATATTGATGAAAATGTTCCAGTTTTTTATTTGTAGTTTTTCCAGAATTAGATTTCTAGAAGGAAAACATTCAGGTACCACAGCTGAAGAGAACAGCAGACCAGGTGTACCTTCTATTGAAGAAAATAAGAACAAAAGTTCAAATAACATCAGATAACGCAAAATTCTAGAGGTTTGCGTTATCTGACCCTAACCCATTCTACAGGAGAATGTAGTAGAATGAGAGAGAAGTGGTGAGTTCATGGTCCAGCAGCCTGTACAGCATGACTACAGAGCTCTGGATAACCTCAGCTTCATCAGAAATGAAGGTTTTTTTAAGCTTCGTCTAGAAAGTATTCAGGGTCTCAGGACCCAACCGTGTGTACTCCACTAGGACAGAGCTGGAATGGATCTCTAGTCAACTGGATCAGTAGAGGCACTAAGCTCTAACAGAACCAGAACCGCTCCCTTTTTCTGAGGCCAGGACAAAATAATCAGTAACTTTCAACAATTTATTACTATTTAAATGCTCACATAACTCATTAGCAACTTTCCTCAAGGATTTTAGGTCAGAAAGACATAGATCTGTAATTTCTAAGGTAACCAGATTAGATGTCATTTATTAACTCATCTTGATCCAGAAACGTTTCTGGATCAACGATTGAAATTCACATCGTACCTTCAGTTTTATTTCTGAAAGAAATATTGGTAGTTTTCCTTCCAGTTCCATTATTTGCTTGTTTTATTTCTTTTACATCAAATCTCCATAAAGTTTAACCCTAACCCATGCAGACGGATCAGGGAGTGTGTGTGCCTCCTCTCTTTCCAACAGGAGCTGCATGAAGCCATCTGGGAAGCTCAGGACGCCCAGAGGCAGCACCACATGGTCAGGCAAAGGTCCCAGCGCTTCCTGAGACTCAGCAAGAAGCAGTGATGTCACTTCCTGTCTGTGGCTGTCCTGCAGAATATGTTACTGAAATCATTGCAAACTCACAAGTTGTTTCAGAATAAAATCAGGAAATGTTGGCTGTTTTTTTCTGTTGCTGAAAAATGAAATTGTTCCATATATTCTTGTTAACTATATAGAACAATTATGTTGAAACCTGAAGGAAATGATAATGTAAATGTTTGTCAGTCATTTGGGTGGAATATATTTTATTTGTAGTTTGTGGGTTATTTCCCTGCTCTGTTCCTGCAGGTTTCAGTTCTTTATGCCTTGAAATGAATCCTTCAAAATGCTTTGCACTAAGATTTTTGCATCACCACTGCAATAACTGATGCTTACTTTATCATTTTTATTGAAAAAAACAAAAATATGAAACTTTTCTCCAAAATTTTAAAAAGAAATGAAGAAACTTGAAAATGATTTATTGATGCGAGTGTCCTGAGTTTTTCACACACAGTTGCTTTGAGCAGTGATGTTTTCCTGCAGTGGCTTGAACATCCTGAGGTTGTAGAAATAACTCCCTAGATAGGTCAGTGAGGTAGAACAAACCGTAGACGACTTTTCTTTCACATTAAGTTAAGCTCCTTTTTTTTCTTTAGCACATTTTCAGCAACAAGGCTGAAAATTCATTGAAAGTGTTTAAATGAATTTGAAGGAAACAAAATAAACCAAAGGAAAGGGCAAAAGAAAAAAGCAAACTAGATGTTGCTAAATGTTGAGTGGCATTATGTGTTACCGCCCCCTGGGGGGCATTCAGGGATCTGCAGAAATTTTAACAAAAGGGGGGCATTTATTCGAGGGTAAACTTTACTCCTTAAATGCAACACAATACCACTTTATAGTTTGAGCAACTTGCTAAAACTGTATTGTGTAACATCAAAACATCCCTTTCTGCAACTGTATGATGGGTTTTTTTCTTGTCTTCACTGTTTGTAGCTTCTCCTGCTGCTGCAGCTTCACCGTCAGTCCAGTTTCACATCGGCTGTGATTCACTTGTCTGGTGTCTGATTTTCAAATATTTGATGTTTTGGCCAGTGCTGTGATCATGTCACCTATAAGTTAAGTGTTTGAACTTATATTAAAAGTGTTTTATTGCTGCCGCTTCCACAGAAGATCAGCAGAATATCACTCTGATAAACATGTAATGACTAAAATCACGAGACTCTCACTGTATGTCCCTCAAAACCTATTTACCTATTTAAAGAATAAAAACCTTCATTTTGTACAGTCAACCGGTTCTGTGAGTGAAACCGTATGCAATGGTGATACCATCACTTTTAAATACGAATCATCAAAATACCGGGGTTTTTCCCATTGTTTTATAATGTTTGCATTTATCTGCTTTTCTCCATCGGTACACTCTGACGGCTCCACACTGCAGGGGGTAAAAAAAGAGAAAACGACACGCACGGAAACCGGAACATTGAGTGGAGCAACAAACTTGATATGAATCAGGAAAAACAATCAAGAGCTTATGATTGGCAGATCTGGTCAATCACATGATTAAGCGGCGCAGCAGGTGTTTGACATGATGAGGGAAGATTATTGATGGTGTTAAAAACTAGAGGAATAACTTCACTTGGCTCGCTAAGTTTTTTTTAGTTTCCCAGATTCAGGACTCAGTGGAAATAATAAAGAAACAACCATTCGACATCAGACTTCAGATATATCTAGAGCTTTATCCAGAGAATTCATTGCATATAGAATGTTACATCAGCATCACACCCAGATCATCAAGAAGTCCAACACATGTCCACACCAGTCCTTCAAGAAGCCCATATTTGTAAGGTGTTAAAATGATCTGGAGATTTTGTTTTTCTACTGAAAGTTTTGGTTTGCATGTGTAGCGTGTTTAATATAGCAAGAAGACTAGGTAGCATCTGAGATCAGAAGACTAAATTCATCCTGGAGCTGTTGTCAGTAATCAATAAAACAACACAAAAGAATAACTGCTTTCAATACTATGTATTTTAAAGAGGAAAACATTACAAGACAAAACATACAAAAAACAAAAACAACATATACACAGTACTGCAGTTGATCTACTATATAATTGTGCACAAAGAGCCTTCACTTTTCCTGCCTGGTCAGCACAATGTCTGACCGACACACATTTAAAAGTCCATGATGTGTTTGTCCAGATATTTAAGAGGAAAATGTCCAAGCGCAATTTGTGTCCGATGAAAAGATGAATAATGAGATGTGTGTCTATGTAGTGAGATGGTGAAATATTGTGGACCATCAGCCTCCTACCAGACCAGTATGGAGTCAATTTCAGGTTCTCCTGGCTCCAGCCAGTTATCAGAAGCTCGCCATCTTTAACCCAAAAAAGGGTCACCTGGCCAATTCCATTTATAGATCAATATATGAGAACTTCCTGGCTCCAAGCTCACTGGATACCCAGATCTGCAGCTCCTTTGTCTCCGGCTCTCCCCCTCACACCTGATTGGGAAAAGCTGGAGCGGCCTAAAAAAACCACTCCAGGTGCAATGATTGGCTGACTACTCTGTGTGATTGACTATCACTCTAACCAATGGAGCAGCAAGGCGGGATTAAGGGCAGTTTACCCTGGGTTACACATGGTAAATGCCATGTGGGTGGAATTTTATGGATGATACTCTGATGTCCCATTCTCCTGAACGCAGCACGGAACTGCAGCAGCAGAAACTGAAATCATTGAAGAGAAGAAGAGTTATGATTTATATAGTTACAGTTCTATAATGACGCATAGCTCAGTCTTTATACAAATAGTTCAATGTTTAAACTTGCATTGTTGGACATATTTATCTTGCCATTTTTTGCAAGATTTAGCAACTTACATATCAGAAAATGGCTGAGAATAAGAATATATTCTAATTGGTGCTGATATGCCTAACAATCTTAAGCTGAATGTTCATTCATTGCATTTTTTATACATGCTTGTAAAAAATATATTGGTTTTCTGGTCAATTACTTTTGATGATAAACCAAGAAACAACCATCGATCCATTTTCTGTTTACCTTTGTTGGTGCCTATCTCCAGCTGCGTTCCGGTGAGAGGCGGGGTCACCCTGGACTGGTCGCCAGTCTGTCGCAGGGCGAATTTGGAAAGACCAATCAACCTAACAGTCATGTTTTTGGACTGTGGGAGGAAGTTGGAGTACCCAGAGAATCCACGCATAGAACATGCAGACTGTGTGCAGAAAGACCCCAGGTCAGGAATTGAACCCAGAACCTTCTTGCTGCAACAGTGCTAACATCTGCCCCACTGTGCAGTCCAAAGAAACAACCCTAAAAATTAGAACAACTATAATCATAATAATATTGATAAAATAGTGGCAGCTACTTTCAACTTTAGCACCTCAAAGCTGTTCTATAATTATTTCAGCAGAACTGTTAATTGTCTTGTGACTTCCCTACAAGGTTTGTTTTCCGCAAATACATTTATTTCACACCGTTTCGCTTGCTGTTTATTTTATCGTCCACTAGAGGGAGATACTGAGGTTTATGGATTAGAGTTCAGAAAATGTAACATTAAAAGAGGTCAGATTCCTTTTGCAAGATACTGTAAAGGCATTTCACTACCCATCTCTGGATAGTGAGTGGAAAATTATCTGCATAATTATTATAATTACAGAGGGACAGTTTGCTATTTGGATGTGTTTTACTATGAAGCCCAGCTATGCAACACGTTACAGCAAAGTGTAGAGATTTGGAAACAACCTCCCACATGGTTCCGGGCAGCAAATGTTGATGGGATAAAAACCTATTAATAACCTATTTCTCTGTATTTAATGTAGTTTCTTAGTTTAATCAGTGAAAAGGACCCCCCACTGAGTGTGTACTCCTTAAATCCTCTGCAGGTGCCCACCCACCTGATGTTTGGTGGTCCTAATCCACTGCTATAGACCCATTAATTTTTCAGCCTATTCAAAGTCTGGCTAGGAATGTTCTACCAAGCTGGGGCTTCATAATTTAAATAGATTTTATTCCATGTTTTTTTTATCTCTTTTTTTCAATCACAGGTTAGCTTTAAAAACCTAACCCTGTTGTATGAATTATTTTTTACCTTAATGCTGTTCTGAAGGCTGGAATTCGGTTTAAAATTCTGCTCTTTCAACCGTTTTTAATTGCTTTTGATTTCTCTTCAAACTCCATTTCTAAGCTCAGCTTTAAAATCTTTTATGAGTTTCTGTTGTTTGAAGAAGTTTTAGCCTGATGCTGCTCTGCTCACTAGAAATTGGCTTTAATTCATTCTTTTAAAAATCATTTTGTTTTACTTTTATTTAAACTCAGTGCTTTTGAACAAAATCCCAGTTCATCTTTAAAATTTCATATTTATCTTTAAGCCATAATGTCAAATTTAATCTTTGAGCTTCTGTAAGGTGCCAAGATATGTGTGCTCACATTCAGAAACAGACTTTAAAATTTCTCTCAGCATTACCCAGAATGCATTGCTTGGCAGGTATTCAAATTTGAGCTTCTAGTTCACCTGTTTATGCTAGAATCTCCAACAAACCCATTGCGATCAGCATGAGCTCCTCTGTCAAACTAGATGAGTTATAATGATCTTGGAGACATTTAGAAAATCAGCACCATGGCTCAGAATGTGGTGTTGATTGTTGAAGTGCTCCCTGCTGGAAGCTTCATCACAGAAGATCCCCTGCTGGCTGCTTTGGGTAAGTTCTTCACTTCATTAATGTGGTCAGAAACCCTTCTTGGACCACTGTTACCGAGCATTCTAGAGGTCTTGCGGTGTATGATGGCACAGAATGGCTCTTTGCTTCCATTTCAGGGGTAATGGTTTGAATCCCAGCAGGTGTCTGGAGATCTGGAAGGCAGCAGTTTTCTGCAGCTGGTGTTCAGGTTCTTTTTCCCTGGGAGGATGATTTGGTTGCAACACCTTGCTATTGCTGCTTTTGCTCATCCTTCTGGGGACACAACTGTTACAACCTGGTGGAGGTCTACTGGTGTGCAGTTCACTCTGTACTGGGAAACAAAGGTGAGTCAGTAAACTTGCAGGTTGCCAGGATTCAACACAGACCAGTAGAGAATCAACGGAGAACTCTTCTGCTTCCTGGGCATGCTGGTTCCACCTTGCGGTGTTAACGGACAGTGTGTTTTTAAAACCAGGGGCGCGGTACGTATCAGCCTTCCCAGGTTCCGCCTATAGGAACAGCACGTGGGAAAGGTGACTCCAGGACTCGGGAGTCTTAAATGCAGTCCAGTCTTCTAGAGGAATAGCCTCACACACAGCAACATGCACTCCAGCTGGTATTCTCTATTCAGTCCTACAGCTTAAAGTCAATAGCGTTAACTTCCTATGATCTGAGCTCTAGCATGGCATGGATTATTATTGCAGGGTTAGGTCCCAATCAGCCCAAATAAAAAATCTTTTGACATGATGTAGTTGAGAAAAAATTAACATATCAGGAGATTTATTTTAAAT